GGGCGCACCACCATCATTTACGGCCATCCAGAGCTAAACAACAACAATCTTCTCAGGCGGGTGGAGGATAAATCGTTTGGCGTCGGCCTGCGGCGATAACGACCGATTGCTGCTCGGGCGCCCGGCTCGACTAATTGGTCCTGGGCTTGGTGGGCTTGGTAACCGGACAAAGCGGGAGCCGGGAGTGAGGTGACCGCCTTTGTGGGTGGATGCCGAAAAAAGAAATCGGGGATTGTTGGGAAAAATCCGAGATGCCACTTGCGGTTTTAACTGGTGTTGAACATACTCGTAGTTTTTTTTCGGAAACACAAAGTAGCATGCGAACTGAAGATAACCGATTGAAGAAACAGTGATTACGAGTAAACATGAGTAAAACTGCTGAAAAAGCTCAGTTATGTCCTTATCATTCGTTTGGGTCAGCACTGCAATTGATCGGGAGTTTGCATTTTACCTCTCCGATAGTCCGTTCTATTTTTTGTTTGTTTGTTTTGTTGGGTTAGGCCCTTCCGGTCTGAAAAGACCATTGCAAAGCCGGAAGGATGATAGGAATTAGGGGGAGACATTGGTCTGGGCAGACACCCTAGAGAGTCGCCGGGGCTGAGCCCGTCCGAATGGACAGGCCGACCAGCCCCCCAAGCACTCTCTGCACTCGGCTACGGGGTGCGCTCCCTCGGGAGCAGCGGTGCCGCTCCAAGGGAGCAGCCCGCATGAGATAAAGGTGCATGTCCAGCCCGGAGTGGGGTTGCGGCGTGGAGGAGAAGGATTTCTGTATTCTGAGGATAAAAGCACGGAACGGTGTTCTTGTTTGTTTGTTTTGTTGGGTTAGGCCCTTTCGGTCGACAAGACCATTGCAGAGCCGGAAGGATGATAGGAATTAGGGGGAGACATTGGTCTGGGCAGGCACCTTAGTGAGTCGCCGGGGCTGAGCCCGTCCAGAGGACAGGCCACCCAGCCCCAAGGCACTCACCGCACCCGGCTACGGGGTGCGCTCCCTCAGGAGCAGCGGTGCCGCTCCAAGGGAGCAGCCCGCATGAGATAAAGTTGCCTGTCCAGCCCGGAGGGGGGGGGGGGTTGCGGCGTGGAGGAGAAGGATTTCAGTATCCTGAGGATAGAAGCACGGAAAGGTGGGTGTTCTATTCTGTTTCGGGAGACTGTATTTGTACCTTACGCAAAAGTTTCTTCTCTGAGAGTCTGTTTTTTTTTTTCGCTTTGCCATACCGAACGGGCTACGTTGAGTACTGAAGAAAAACATTAAGATTAGAAATAGGTACATACGTACCATCTGTCACCTCAGTCCGTCAGTCAACATAACGCCCTGCTTCCCGCTTGTATCTATCAGACCAATGAACGGGTCCCGGTACCGACCCGACCGCCACCTACCGGCAGTGTCCGTCCACCAGCCAAACAGCCAGGAGAGGGAAGCACTGTCACTGAGAGTGGAGCAGCTGCGGCTGAGAAAGCCACCTACCGGCAGTGTCCGTACACCAGCCAAACGGCCAGGAGAGGGAGGCACTGTCGCTGAAGACAGCTCTGCTGCTGAGAGAGAGCCACCTAGCGGCAGTACTCGTCCACCAGCCAAAGGGCCAGGAGAGGGAGGCACTGTCGCTGAGGGCAGTTCTGCTGCTGAGAGAGCCACCTACCGGCAGAAGTCGCGCTTTCACCCCACTGGCGCCATCTGTTCACAATGCCGCTGGATGGCGCTGTCTGCAGAGAGTAGCTTGGGCTGGCCAAGTCGCTCAGCAGGGGTCTTGGCTTGAGTTTGTCATATCCAACTAAACTACCGTTCCGTGCTTCTATCCTCAGGATACTGAAATCCTTCTCCTCCACGCCGCAACCTCCCTCCGGGCTGGACAGGCAGCTTTATCTCATGCAGGCTGCTCCCGAGGGAGCGCACCCCGTAGCCGGGTGCAGTGAGTGCCTTGGGGCTGGGTGGCCTGTCCTCTGGACGGGCTCAGCCCCGGCGACTCTCTAGGGTGCCTGCCCAGACCAATGTCCCTCCCTAATTCCTATCATCCTTCCGGCTCTGAAATGGTCTTGTTAGACCGAAAGGGCCTAACCCAACAAAACAAAAAACACACAAAAAAGAGTGATATCGACTGATGTCAGCCAGCACTCTTTGCTACTTACTTTCTGTGATCGCGTCTGGTGTATGTGTGTAGGGGGAGGGTAGAGCGGGTTGAATGCCTGAGTGGGTGGGATGGGAAATTTTATTTCGACTGCAGCCTTAATGTGGGCCTCGGCCTGTGGTTGTTATGAAATAAATAAATAAGGAAAATTTCTTCCATTCATCCATCCACTCTTCCGATCCACTCCTCAGAGCCATCCTTTGACTATACTTGTGATCAAACTTCCTTGTTTCGGACTGACGATCATACCACCCCACTGCACTCGTCTTAGACCATCGGGGGAGCAGTTCTAATTTGGTCCTTGTCCTAGAACCGTCCCTGTCCCTCCCTCCTGCGACCGTTTAAGCGGCCACAGCTTTTTCACCGCGACCGGGGCACTCGTTCAGCTAGATGGGCTCTGCCGCTACGGCGCACCAGTTGGTAGTAGATCTAGCCCAATGCCTCTAGTCATAAAAAGAACACGGTAATCTTCCCGTCGTCGACCTATTTATCTTATCGTCAAGTGTTTATGCCCGGTTTATTTCACTGTGTTCCCTATAGAACAAATAGCGGGAGGGGGTGGCTGCAACCCGAGCGAATCTCTCAGTAGGTAGTCCAGACCAGACCACCACACTTATAGTGTGAGATGCTGCCCCACCACACTTGCAGTGTGAGATTCTGCCTGTTGCGGTACTATCACATCAGCCACTACAGGCTAAGGTGGTCGACTTGCATATTTTTATATCACTCACTTTATACCCATCGAGACAGCCCAAGGACGGATGATGCTGGGGGCTTGCCTTAGGAATGTTCTCTCTAATTGTTCGGATAACTTGTGAAGCCATCCATGCTTGCCTGTACCGGTATCACGATGCAATATCTAGGCGGTTGTACTGCTAACTACTGTTGAAAATGGAGCTAATCTTCTAAAGATACTCAGTTACTCATCTAGAGTTCATCGACAGCGTCCTAGTGACTACTGACTAGTAGCAAGCCAGGAACAGTTTCAGAATACGACCAAATATTAATAATTAAGCTATATGATTTAACAATTGCCGTGCACGAGAAAATTAACTCGAGTTCTATAGGAAAGAATGCAAGTAAGAATAAAAGATGTATACTTATCCATGTTTCTAATACATTTTCTTTATTTTCAGATAGCCTGGGACTCAGCACAGTGAAGGACATGGACGAGCCGACACATGGTAAGGTTCACCACGCTTAACTTGACGGTGTTTTATAAGCATACATTTATGTCTGCATAAATTATATGCCTCGATACAATAAAAAGTAACGGCTTTTGCATGAGTAATAGTATAATAGCAATATTGATAAATGATAAACGTGTGTGATATGTCTTTTGAATGACTGTTCTCCAAGAGCCAATTTTGAAAGCTTGCATGGCCTAATGGACGGTTGCCTGTAAGAAACCGTCCATGGAAAACTACCCCCCCCCCCCCCTCCCCCTAGTAGAAACTTGCACACATTGTCATTGAACAGCCAAAAACAGCCTACTTTCCGCTGGTGGATGAATAAAAAGTTAAGGGTCATTGGCCATTGTCCCCGCAGCGTCCGAAACTTAGGAAAATATGTCAAAATATGTCACATAAAAACATTTTCTAGCTTTCGACAGAAAAGGTTTGACCTAAATTGCGCAGCAACGAAATCCGAGGAGTTCTAAAAGTAAGAGGTTTTTGTAGGGGAACCGATTACACTCTTAGCCGTGTCCAACACTGCCTTTACGGATCCGACATCGAACCGTGTAAATTAGACACGCATCGATGTAAAAACCCGCTAAGTCAGTATACCCGACCTAACTAGCTTTGTGGACGTGGTCACTGAACAGCAAATAAGGTGTCAGGAGGTAACATATGTGAGCTTGGACAGGACCATCATTAGCATACTTACAGCCTAATTGTCGATCGTCAGTTCCCATCCATTTCAAGGGCATTGGCACAGTTTTGGACGCCGCCACATGCCGCATTCCTGTGCCTACTTTGAACTATCGGTTCATTCCGCGATTGGTATAGGCCACAATGTGGGTCAGTTCAAGTTGAAACAGCAGCAACTGGAAACAAAAATTCCTGAACTATTTCTCTTCAACGGCTGAAATAAGCTCGTTAGGTTGAACGCATCGGCAAGACTCAACTCGAAATAAGATTGAATTGCCATTCGTATGTCATCCTAGCAGCTATTATACCGTTCCGAGCTTATATAAGTACCAACCGAACTCGTAAGCTCGATTGGTGTGGTTTCCTTTCGTCTTCAGTCTATCAGATATGCATTCAAATTTCAAAGTATTGTTCTCCGATTCCTGCACGGTTCATGATGCTATGACACATATCCTCGATCATATTCCATGCTTGTAACTGGGATAAAGGTATCTATGACATAAATAATATTGAAATAGCTTAATACATAGAGTCCGTCATTTTAAAAGCATTTTTGATGGCTATCGTTCCGAGAGTCTCCCTCGGATAAACAACACATATAAGCCATTGATCCGCTCTGAAAGCTGACAACACGGGAGTGATGCAGATGAGCAGCAGAGCCGCTTGGAATAGCCTGCGTTATCGAGCCTCTGATCCCCGTGGAGCGGCACTCGGAGAGAGCAGATCCCACCGTCCGCCAGTGATGCATAGCACGCGTGCCTCCGTGCCCCGTGGCCAGTTCCGGCACTGTCGACAAAACACCGCTCGTGGTCTCCCGACACCGGAGAAAGTCGGTGTGACGCCGCTCCGTCCACGAGCTCGGTGCTCGGAATGTGTCACGAGGCCGGACCGGCGGCCGATCGACCGACCGAGCGAGCGGGCTGTCCCGGCCCCACCTGACGGCGCTGGGCCACCTGGCGGTGACGCCGCGGCGGCGCGCCGGTCGACCGGCCCGGTCAGACTCAGTGCCGGCGCCGCTGGAGACGCGTCGAGTTCACCGACGCGCCAGGTCTGCCGACGCGCCGTGTTCGCCACCGCGCCAGGTGTGCCGACGCGCCGGGACATTCGTTAAGCCGAGTCGGCGTCTCGGTCAGTCTGTGGTTGGTGCAGTGACCTGCTGTGGCGGCGGAACAGTGCTGACAAATTGAGTTTACCGCACTTGGTGAGATTGGGCCTGGTGAGTGGTCCGACCTGCGAACTCGCGATACCGCCATGTGATGAGACGCAGTCTCCGGCGCCGTTGGTGTTAGTGTCCTGTGACGATCTGCAGTCTCCCATGTGTGTGCTGTGATCGAGTGGTGTCGCCTGACGGCGGACAGTGGCGCAGTGTTCTCCCTGCGAGGTATCGCCATGGACGACGAGCGAACCAAGACACGGATTCGCGAGGAACTGTCGCGCAGCGGCGCTGCGAGCCGAGCTATCGAACATTTCAATAGAATCGCCGGCGGTGCGGGTGGAGGTAACAGCGGTGGCGGAGCTGTGCAAAATGCAGCTGAGAGGGTCAGCCCGGCCAAACCGCATCACCATCACCGACACACATGCAAAAAGCACAAGGAGAGGGCTCAGGAGCGGGCGCAGGAGCGGGCACTACGAGACACTACCACAGCTGTAGAGGTGGAGTCTAAGGCCAGCCGACCGCCACATACCAACTACGAGCCGATTGAGGTGCCGGAGAGGGAGCCCAAAGCCGCCAGGGCGCGGAGTCAGACCCCGGCGGCTCTACCGGTCCGACCGACACGGCCTGAGCTGCGGACTGTGCCTGAAGAGCCGCGACCGAGCCGGACAGAGTCTCGACTGGCGGAGGAGCAGACCCGGCCCGGCAGTCAGGCGGCGCGACCGACCCCCCTCACCAAGGCGGACAAGACAACACCGGAGCGACCGCCCGGCCCGCCTGTGGAGCAGCTCTGGCCCAAACACTGGGGAGGTAGGCGCAACCGCACAGTCGGGCTTATTAGTGTCACCCAGACACTACATGTTTTAGCTAGGAGGCTATCCAAATTTCAACTGGTTACCCCTCAAACACTGCACTCTACATACCTGCGTGCCATGCATTTAGCTTTCAAGTCTGGATGAGTATGACTGTAGCTTGAAATTGAAGCGATATCTCTATTCTCGGTTGAATGGGCACGCAAGGAGAAAACTACCCAGAAGTTAAATTTCTCTGCTAATTTACAAACCGGTTTTAAAATAGCCAGATTTCCCCTAAAACGGCCAAGTATGAGTCCCCGATAACCCAAATTCTGCCGTCCACCAGCTGCCAGACCCACACAATCATCACCCACCCTTCCTCGGCGCTCCCTCCCTCCCTCCCTCCATCGGCGACACATTTCCCGCCGCCGCGCTGTCGGGACACGGGCAGTGGGTTTGGCGGCGCGTCCCGGCCCGCCCGGCCGGTGAGGGTACCGTTGCTGTGCACACGGGGAGGCGCGGGCGGCGCCGTCTTTCACGGCTGCTGCTCTCTGGCCGCGCTTCGCCTCCCGGCTCCCGACTCCGGCTTCTCGCGGGAGCAGCGACGCCGCTCAGCCATGGCCAAACGGACTCCGCAGAATAGCATGGATGGGATGGATGGATAGGATGGGTTGAATGGGATAGGATGCTTGGTCACGGTATGACTAGGGGTTAGACACAGAGGATGGGAATGGCGCAAAGGTATAGGAACCCAATCATTTGCGACGGTATGCAAAGAGACAATACAATGAGAAAGAACACGATGTCATGGGATATAATGTCATATGTTGTATCATAATGAACCTTGGCGTGAAGGAATTCACGGTAGGGGTGGTTTACTACACAACCAGGTGGTCAGATTGCTAAGATGCGTCAGGCTCCCCGGGGCGAACGGCAGTGACCGTTCTCAAAGGCATTCGAACCAGACGGGGTCGAGGTGCATTGTCACCGGCCAGATATAGTCACGAGCTGACCAGTCAGTCATGCCTAGGGCAGATGTAGTCACGAAGTGAACAGTCAGTCATGTCTCGGGCAGGTGCAGTCACGAGTTGACCTGTCAGTCACCTCCTATTGGGCGCCGTGCCGAAAGGCGAGTCTTGCGGGACTTCTGATGAGATGGGCTTCAATTAGCTCCGGAACGGTGGCTTCAATTATTTACATAAACATCTAATGCTAGCAACAGCCACGGTTAATGCTCTGCCTACATTCAACTCAAAACTGGCTAATCATTACAAATTATTACGAAAATGATAAATAGTCTGTCCAAGTAGGTATATCAAAATATTGGACTCTCAGACATGCTATAAAATACTGGAAATACATATTAAATGCCATGCATAATGCATTGTTTAGGCTATGCATAGCATACCGCCACTGAGCCACGGCGGGTCTCCACCCAGCAGTCAGTCTCGTCTCGCCTCTGCTGTCGTCGGTCACCCTCCGCCGTTCCGGGCTGACCCCACTGGTACACAGCGGTCCGTCTCCCGACCGTCAGCCGCCGTCTGCCGACCCGTGGCGCCAGATGACGCCTCCCCGTCCCTGGGAGCGCCGCCACGGCAGCAGCAGCCGTGTGCGGAACGACCGACCGCCGCGCCGGTCGGGCGCTCCATTGGGCGAGTCGCCACGCTCCGCTGCCCCGCACACTCGTGCCTAACCGTCCCCGGGACGGATCGAACGGCAGAGGAGTGCGGACGGTGGACTCCTACCTCCAGACTGTCACCTCAGGAAGGGACTGAGGAGCATAAATTGGGCTCAGAGTCATGAGCAGAAAAAAAACAGAAGTTCAGCTTCGGATATTTGGTTTGGCCTGGCTAAGATCAGAGTCAGTTGAATTCGGTCAGAGGCAGGGCTTATGTCCTTTCCTTCCGTCTCCGCGGGCCATCTCTATAGACTCCAGACCCTCCTCGGGTCAGTCTGCTGTCCCGTTCGGGCAATCTCCTACCGCTGACCGTTCGCCGCGCCTCAATAGCTCAGCTCTGAAACTCGGACAGAAGGTAGCCTAGCTCCGCCACGCTAATTGACCCGGGCCAGGCGTCTGTCGGTCGCACCGGGAACGTCCGACGTCGGCCCGAGCTGGCAGCCGCGGCACTCGCTTCTCTATCTGGGTCGGTTAATTACGGTATTGGCGGACCGTCGGCCGGCCGTGGGAGCGCAGTGCCGTCCTGGACGCAGCTCCGGTGTCAGGTCGCGTTGTCACGCAGCTGATCGGCCGAGAAATGAGTTCAGCAGCCGCTCGGCGTTGCCTCTGCGGGTGGCGGCTGGCGCGTGTGTGGGTTTGTTTGGGTCGGCTGTGTGTCGCCTGCCTGTCCCAGTTGTATGCAGTGGGTCCGGCTGCCAGGTGCACACTGGCGGTGGTTTCCGCTCGCTGGCCAACTCCATTAGCTGGATTTGGGAGAGTGGTGCGGCTAACGAGGAACATTCATGGAAATTGTGTCAAGACGCAACTGGCGGCGCGGTGGCTGTCAGTTGTGATGGAGTTGTTCGGTAGGAGGAGACAAAGCCATACGGGGAAACACGCACAGAAATCACATTAGATGTGATGTAGAAATAGGCCAAGATACAGTGATTTATTATCTCCCATTATGTTTCCTACCCACTATGACCAAAATGGATAGCAGCGTAGCCAACCTTTTCATTTTCGTAACGGCTCTCAGAAACAGCACATTTTTAGGGAAGTACAAGCATTTGCACTCCTGACGCCATTTGCGAGTAAACCGAGCTGAAACATTGTTGTCTTCTTTTGTTCTACTTACCTGTGAGTCTTAACAGTCACCCATCCCATTGTATGTGCCGGTACTCTACTGAATCAAAAATGGCCAGAACTGCGAATACGCCGCCGTCCTGGTCATCAACTTCCGCCAAAACACCGGCTGTCAATGGGCTATCCGCATGAGGGATTTAAAAGCTGCCGTTTTCGGAACATTATCCCCGCTGCAGTGACTTTATTGAAGAATGTTCTACTGAGAAATGACGTTCCCTTTCCGTTTGAAGTACCAGGGGAATATGTAGTTAATACAACGTGTGAAAACTGGGACAGATCCGGACCAGACGCTGAGGCCGGACCATACCGAGCTGCTAGAGCAGACCACTCTTTCGGGGAGGTCACGGGGTCAGTCGTTCCTCCGCCCGTCTGCAGCTGCGCCGGGGCTCACCGGCCGCCTCCGGTCCCTGCGGTTCGGACAGATCTCTATGAGGCAGCGGCTGGCAGCCGGCCGGCCGGGCTGACCGTTCCGCTCCACCGAGCAGCGGTGTGGGTCAGCCGCGCGCGGACACCGCTCGGCCTCTGCCGGCGGCGCGTGGTCCTCGCCCGGAGACCACCACGGTGGGGAGAGCCGGACCCGGCGAGCTCCTTCGCAGAAGGGCCTCAGGGAACGGCGGGAGGGAACTAGAACAACCAGGACAGTGACCGAGGGGATATGACTCGACTGGGGGGACTGGGGAGGGGGCAGGACTGAACTGGGACATACAGCAGGGCACTGGTTGGGCAGAAGGGCTTGGGGATGTAGTTCTGAATAGAATTGACGGTAGGGCACCAGTTGGGTGAAGGAATGTAAGGTGGCGTGATTTACCAATTACCGGGGTCACATGAGCAAGTAGGTAAATGTGTATCAGGAACGGATTTTCCTATTCGCTCAGCATTGTGATCCGTTTGTTACACGCATTCACTCTGCCCATGTAAGTACCTATCTCCGGTCATTGGTCAAGGGAAAACAGCAGGACACTGACCGGATATACAAAGAGGTCGATCTGGGTCACCTCTGTTGGAATGGCAACTGTATGCTCAGTTCTGTTAATGCATGCAGTAGCCGCTCATGAACCGCAAACTATTCAATCCGTACCAGGCTGAGCGAAGCCCCGGTCAGCATCTCATGTGACATACCCCTGTCCGCTGCTGGGTCAGGCTGATGCCATGCCGATAGGTCGCGGCCTCCAGTGCAAGTCATGGACAGTGGTTAGCACAATGGTTTGGGTCACGAGTCCAACCGTCCGAATGCTGAGTGACGGCTAACCGGTAACTCTTAAATATTAATAGCCAGGCCGCCATCGTTGGCAACAACCGGGCTATTCATTGTTGTTTGACACAGGCCATGCAGCGTTTGGTCCATTAAACTTATGGAAATATTCAATTTTATAACACCCTGAAAAAAATCTGTCCCTGAGTCCAGAGCCATGATACAGGTAGGCATAGATGCGGCATGACAATCTGCCATCTTACGAATGCCTAATTTAATGTAACTCTGGAATGATTATCCATCAATATAAAGCATTCTAAAAATGTGATCTGACCTATTCCTAAAGCCCGTTCCTGTTCCTGTAACGGGAAAGTTGCATGCATCCATGTCGTTCTCACAGACCAAACTCTCGAGCATTGTGATAACGTGAATCGTATGCCATCGTCGCATAGTGAGGCGTCAACTGTGACGGCGATGATTAGGTGAGATTCGTCGGGGCGAAAGCCTCGCACGACTGAAATATGACGTCAAAGGCACGAAGTGAAGGGGGAAAGCCAGGGCAGTTAGCGCCTTCGTCGTGAGGAAAGCGTTTTCATGGCTGCATGTGCATTATGACGTCACTTGCATTTTGAAGCAGCGCTGTGAATGCACAGTGTGCTGCAACTTATGATTAGTAGTGATTTCATTACACAAATGAAGGAACAAAGCGACTCAAAGCTATTCGAACGATTGCATCATAACCAGCGTATGCACAATTCAACTGCATTACTTGCAAATACCTACTGGTGACTGAAGCATACTTACCTCATACTTACTTGAATGTGGTTCAATGGATTTGCACATTCTTATAGTGACGCAAGTCGCAATAAGTTGCAATCAAGTTGACTGTTGTAAAGAGAAGTAACAGTAGCTAAGCCAAATTGGGATAAATAACGTGATCATCGCGTTCAATAGTCTATCTATCCCACATTTTATCTCAAAATCACAACCCCAATGGCCATAACATAACCCTTCGAGGTAATTA